GCACCTATTGGTGGAGATCCATTAACATAAGAAATGTGGAGGCTAGAGACAGATTCAGTCTTTGAAGCCATAACATGAATCAATGTTCTATGATGTGTTTAAAGCACAAAAAAGACCAAGCTGAAAACCTGAAGAATGATAACATCTTCAAACAAAAAGTGACAGATGAGACTTAAGTAAAGGAGACTGAAAATAAAAGGGGGAAGGGGAAACCAGAAAGGTATTTGAAGAAAGAATGAGGTAATATGTAGGCTGCTTTCATTACACACTAGGCTAAGTTCTAAAAGAAGTATTTGAATAACTGAACTATGACATAAAAAAAAAGAAAGAAAGAAAGAAGTTTCTTGACAAACTCCTTGGAGTTTGTCAAGGAGACAGGGGTGCAAGAGAGGAAATATTAAGCATGGGTTAGACTGTTGATGGGTGTCAAATGTGGGTGAAATGGAAGATGGTAATCCACAGAAGGAGGGAGAGAAATCAAGGATTGAGTGATGGGTCAACTATTTGGGGGTGGTGGTGGGGTGGTGGACAATGATTAGTAGTTTAAAATGTTGAATCCAAAGTTGGTCATCTAAAATGTAAACCCCCACCTAATTAACAATTTTTAAAACGTTAAAGAAAGAAAGAAAACGACTCGATTTTAAGTTCAAAGTGTTATTCTACACTTTTAACAACACTTTAAAGAACACTATGGATACATAAATATGTAAAATCTCCTCCTTAAAAAGAGAGAGAGAGAAAAATCAAATGACATGTTGCATGGGGCAAACTTGAGGCACAAGATCTATTTAAAATGTTAAGGGTCAAATAGATCACTTTGAAAGCTAAGGATTGCCTGACCCAATCTCTAGTATTTCCCATTGTCTATCTGCCCGTGAAAGCTGGACAATGATAAGGAAGACCACAGGAAAATTGATGCATCGGAATGATGTTCCTGTCAAAGAATCATGGAAGTGCCACGGAGCATCCCAAGAACAAATACATCGGTCTTGGAGGAAGTACAGCGGGAACGCCCCGTAGAAGAAAGGACGGCGAGACTGCACATGTTCTCAGGAAGGATGAATCCCAAAGAAGCACATCATGCTTGGTAGAGTAGCTGGTCAGCAAAAAGAAGACCCTCAACAAGCTAAGAGTCACCCTGGCTGCAACAGCGGGCGCAGCCCTAACGAGAGCTGTGAGGATGGAGCCGGGCTGTGACATGTCTCCTTGTGCTGTTCCTCGCATCATTCGGAGTCGCAGCAGCTCAGCAGGCCCAGCGGCAACACTAGCACTTTCATTTCACAAAATTGCAGTTGGAATTTATTGCCTTCTTCTACCTCCACCTATTTTCCTTCAGCCATCACTTAGGCTGGTTGATGTCCTTAATGTGGTTTGGCGACTCACATGTTCATTCCCGAGAGAAACCTGCAATGCTTTCCTAGAGCTAAAAATAGTCGGTGATATGCTCCACAATAGCTTCGGGTCCAAAACTGATTCTTTGCGGCCCATATTGTGTTGCAGAAAAGAAATTCTAGAAAATGGGGTAGCAGGATTTCTAGCCTGTACAGGTGGCAAAACATTTGAAGGAGGATTAAATAAATAGTACTGCATCCCAGTATGAACATAACAGCAGGAAAAATGGATTCAATCCTCAAATTCAACCAACAATGGATGAAAACATCCTGGAGTTGTGGATGGAAGCTGGAACAAGGAGAAGAAAGGCAATTAATAGCCAAAGCCATCCCTCAAAGGCTAAGGTTGTGTTGCTAGGTGCCAATAAGTTGGTAGCAATTCATATGTCATATGTCTAACAGAGTGCCGTCCTGTGTCCTCCTCACGGTGCTATGTTTGAGCCCATTGTTCAGCCACTTTGTCACTTCATCTCATCAGGGCTCTTTCTTTTTCAATGCCCCTTCACTTTTCCAAATATGATGTCCTTCTCCAGGGACTGGCCTTGCCTGATAGCATGTCCAAAGTAAGTGAGACAAAAATCTCCCCATCCTTGAGGCCAAGGAACATTCTGGCTGTCGTTATTCCATAGATGTGTCTGTTGTCTGGCAGTCCACGGTACTCTCAGAGGCTAAGAAGGAGAGCACAGAATGTTTGTATTGCATAAGTAATGGAGAGGTGATTTGTGTGTTTGTATTTGTAATAGACTTTGATGATGTACAAATATTATGCCACGTTCTATAAAGAGCTTGAGCCTCTGTATGTTGGAATCAGCAGGTAGTACTGAAACCAATCCCGGGGAATCTGCAACAACTTTATTACAGATCATTAACTTGCCGTGTCTGAATCAGTTTACGCCTTAGCTAACACAAAGACAGTTGTTGAGCCTAACAAAGAGACCAGCCACTCTGAGCTCCTAAGTGTGGTTATCTTCTCGATATCCAAACGTGGCCTTGACTGAACGCTGTTACATCCTGCCTTCCTCCCATATTCCAGCAATGCTAATTATCTATGTTGCAAAGCACTCCAAGGTCCCATGAGTGTCTGTTACCTTTTCTTTCCAACACATCTGTGAACCATGGAACATCATCACCCATCAACATTTCAACCCACTCGGTTTTTTGAGAAGCCGCTATCCTACCTGCAGTATATGTCTGTCATCTGGTAAGGACTTGTGTAACTATATGCATGAACCTGAAGACATGGGTCTCTCCCCAGCAATCCTCCTACCAGAGTCCACTCTTCCCACATAACTGTATCAAAACCCACAAACCTCCATATTTTTTCCTTGAGTCCGGTATGCCCCACCCCCCAATACTGAAAACACATTCTATGAACAAGGAGAACAAATAAAAACAGAAAAACGATTATGTCATGAAAGTGTGAAAGTGATGCTGGTTGGGTGATTTACCTTGGTGTGGCTCCCAGGAGGAAATACTGCTCAAGCCTCTGTCTCAGATAATTCAGTTCACGCTGCGTGACTGTGAAGGGTAAATGGTTCTGATGACCTATGAAAGAAAAGCAATTTTTCAGTTTTCTGGAATGAGTCTTCCTTAATGTCAGGGAGCATTTTGAGTTCTTTCCATGCATTTCACATTGCCAGGCTCTGAGGGGGCACCTTTCTTTGCTGTACTCTAGTGCTAGGGTCCAAGCCAGTCACGAGGACTGTGAATTTGGACTTATTAGTAGAGTCTGTTAGTGGAAGCCATGGTGGTTTGTTAGTCTGGGTACTTTAGAGAAAAAAATCCACAGAAACTCATCATGTATAAGAGAGAGTTTTATATAAAGGCTAAGTACACATCAAGAAAACATCCCAACCCAGTGCTGCCCAAGGCCACAAGTCCAACATTAACCCATTAGCCCATATGTCCAACACCAATCCACAAAGTCTTCCTCTATCTCACAAAACACACACTATGACGCTGACTGCAGGAGGAAAGCCAAATCATTGAATGTGTAAGCATCTCAGTGCTGGCAGGGGTCTCCACATGGGTGCTCCAGCACCCAGGGCTGCATCAGGGTAGGTCCATGTGGCTTCTCCTTAGGGATGTCTTTCAGGAAGTCAGCCTTGCCAGCTGAAGCAGGGAACTGCTAAGACAACTGCACCCTGGTGCGACTATCAGAAAGCAAGAGACCCAAGAACTCGAAAGGCAAGGTTCACCAAGCCATTTATCCCTCTGCCCTTCAATTAACCCCACATGTGTTTATCAGCCAGGTTGGCACAATAAACTAACTACCTCAGTGGTACTATAGATAAGGTCTCAGCTGTCAACTGGAATGTAGGGAGGCTACCTATTCCACAGAAGGAAAGACATTGTAGTAGTGATAGATTACACCATAAGCATCGAGTTATTTGTGCTTGCTTACTAACTGATAGAGAACAACTTAACTTGAGTTTTACTGGTTGTTCATTACCAATCGGTAAGTCAGCTCATAAGTAAACCTATGCTTAACCTTGATCCCTGGGTGCTCTACCCCTGTCAGGGACTGTACCTTTGAAAAGAGGCTGTGATTCTATGGGAATATCTATGGGGTTGAGCGAGAGACTGATGCCATCCATACGTAGAAGTACAGTCCTTCCCCTTTCAGCTTCCAAGACTGCAGCTCTCTATGGGGGTAGGAAGCCCACTCCATCTCCCAAGGAAGGCTGGTCCACCATGGAACCACTAAGACACCAGGTTGTTACAAATTGGAATCAATTCCCAGGTGATGATCATTTTTGGTAGCAGGCTCTGTTAGGAAACCTGGAGACACAATAGTGAAAATGGTTAAGCATGGCATGCTAACCCCAATGACAGTGGTTGCAATCCACCAGCTACTCTTTGGGTAAAAGCTGTGAAAATCTGCTTCCATAAAGATTACAACTTTGGGGGGGACATTCCTGCCAGAATGCAGTGTGTGTGTAAGGATCTTCTCAGCCCCAGGACACAGGAGCTGTGAATTTTTCGACACAAATTCCCACTCAGTATCCCCACAAGTATGTAGGGGACGAAGTATTAGTGTTCTTTGTGGTTTTAGCAAGGGGCTGATAAGAAGAATTGTCAGCTCACCATTCCCCCTTACTGGACCACGCTCCCTAGAGCAAGGGGGGAAGGGCATCCCCCCTGGCGTACTGCCTGGCCACACAGAATCTGTGACTTTGGGGAGGGTTCATTTTGTCAATTCCTCCCTCTGAGATGCCAAGACAGAATTAGCAGAAGCTTCTGCTCCTCAGGGAAGGTGCGGAACTCAAGCTGCTGCATCTGGTCCTCTTATTTCAGAGTTCCTTGGCAGAGGGTTTCAAAGTGGCTCTGTCTCCGTGGCCATATTGGAAGTCTCTGAGAGATTACAACGTTTGCACAGTGCTACTCCAATCTATGTGTGACTATGAGTGGGAACCGACTGGACAACAATAGGTTGTAGGATCCACTAATTGAGTACTATAGGAATTATATAATGTGTGGGGGGGGACGGGGGGCTTGGTGTTCAATACAGACAACCCTTCACTTCCACCCACCTACAAGGAAAAAAAGTTCAAGTTAAGCACAGGGGAACCTTTAAAATTAATCTGTCATGTGATAATTTGTTGACAGGTCAGTTATTGGAAAGACATGGAACCAGAAGAAGCAGCAGCAGAAACAGTCCAAACCAGGGGCAATGAGTCATCCATCACCCTGACAGGATTAGAAGGAAATACGTTATATCACTTCACAGTGAGGGCTTATAATGGAGCTGGATATGGGCCGCCTAGCAGGGAAGTGAGCGCAGCCACGAAGAAATCTCGTAAGTGACCCGGCGTTTGGTTTGTCTCAAACGAAAGGGAAACATCCTGTAACATTTCTGAAAGCCACAAGAGACACATAATAAGCAGCGTTGAAGGGGAGTTTTGATTCATAGTCTTGCTTCAGTGGTCAGATCTGAATTCCGAAACTAGCACTGAAAATTTTGCATTCACAATAGATAAAGGTTACCTTCCTGTGAAACAAGGCTAAGTGGGTTTGACACAGAAGGAAGATAAAAGGATTCAGGTTTAAAGGCTCCGTGGAGTAGCTATTAAAACAACACTCCTGGAGCAAAACCCTCCTTATCTGCCTCCAGCTGGAAGGAAGCCTATGGTGCCAGCCAACTGCTGAACACGTGAGGTTAAAAAGCCCCGAAATGCTCTCAAGGATTAAAATGAAGTAATGTATTTCAAAATCATTGACAGCCTGTTTTCCCTTCTTATGTTGCAGCCCCTAGTCAAGCACCGAGCAACCTCAGGTGGGAACAACAAGGCTCTCAGGTTTCTCTGGGTTGGGAACCTGTCAGACCACTAGCCAACGAATCTGAAGTCATGGGCTACAAGGTCAGTGTGTCTCCCCTGTCTTGCATAGACACACATCAAGAACATTGTTACTGGGAGGATGTATAATTAATAAGGCATACAAAGATCCATGAACAGATGTGGTTTCCATTTTATTTGCTTTGAAATTTTGTTTTGTTCTGTTTTTCTCTATCATTTTCTGTCTGTAGCTCTGAAGGAAAGACTTTGTATAGGTGGGATGTGGTTTGAGGGTGGGGGAGTCAGCCCCCCACCACTAACCACATGTTCAGTAAGCACAATTGTACGGCTGAGATATATGAATATTATATTAAAGTCATTGAGAGCATGAGAGATAAAAGAGAGTCAAATAATGGAGTCAGACACATTACATGGTAGCATTGCTCACCTCAGCCCCACTTGTGGTTCACGTGGAGAGAGGGGGAAGGGAAGGAGGACAAGGGGAAAGGGAAACGGGGGAGGAGAGGGAGCCCAGGAGAGGTCAAGGGAGGAGCCAAGAGAGAGGGAGGGAGGGAGAGAGCTCTCTATTGCTAACCCAGGCCTATATACCTTTGGGTCCTGCAAGCCCACTACTAAGGTGACCAGATGTCCCGCTTTTGGCAGGACAGTCCTGATTTTTAACAATTTGTCCCATGTCCCACGGCATTTTTTGAAAGTCCCGATTTTTGGAAAGAATGCACGACAAGCTAGGTTTTCAGCTGCCGTGTGGCTATTTCACCAGGATACGAGGTTTTGGGTTTTTTTAAACATTTTATTAGGGGCTCATACAACTGTTATCCCAATCCATACACACATCAATTGTGTAAAGCGCATTTGTACATCGTT